CCAGAGGCGGCCGAAAAATGTCTCCTGTACGTGGGTTTTACCTTGTCCAGGGAGTAGAGTATCTCTCCAGGGGGCAAAGGCCATAGTTTGTTAATTTGGCTGGATAGGGCTGTGCAAAGACTGATTCTGTTCCCATGTCCTCTCAGGGGGAGTGCTCCTATGTGTCTTTAAGTGCTGGGTAGAAGCAACTCCTTGGTTTGTACCGCACTGAACCAAATAGTATTGGGCAATGTTTAGTCCAATTTAGCATGAAAATTGTGCGACAATACTGTTGATGAAAACAGAGTTGATCCATAGTTTTACTTCTCTCCCCCCCCCCAAGAGCAATAATGTGAAAACCTCACTGTTCTTTGGAAATTTGCTTATGAAATACATAAATAGATATTGTTTGCACGTTTAAGCACACCTTTGACTCCTACTTTGAAAGGGAACAGTCATGTGAATAAATGCTCTAAGTAGTACTGACGATTGCAGCAGCACTGCTATTAGTGAAGTCCCGTAACACTGTGTTTACAAACTGAACGCTGGATGTATCAGCAACAGTCGCTGGGCTTGACCAGATGAAAGTAAAACACTTCATTTAATTAATCGGGAAACAACCTAACACCTAACTGAGTAGAAGTGTCTGGCTACAGGATTGTGGGTTTTTTACAGCCAGCAGAGACGGGAAGGGAGAGCAGGAATAGTTCTTTTGCTGTGGGGCTGTGGATCCTCATTTGCATGAGCAGTGACTTTTCTAGTTATCGCTTTGTCTGTGTTCATTTCTGAGGAGCCAGAGGGAAATATGCAGCCAGCAGTAAAATCCTTCCCTGGCTTTTTTTGTACCTTTCTTCATGATTTTACTTGTGTAGATGGAGGCCTACACCAGTAGGGATATCAGTGTAGTTCAGCTACTCTGAACAAATTAACTGCGTTTGAAAAGGGTCCCGTTCCTGAGGGAGGGCAGGTCGGTTCCCCTGGGCTGGCGTCGGAGGTGCGATCCCTGCCTGGAACAGCTTTTCTGCCTGAAGCCCCTGACATGGGCCAAGTTACGCCAGTCGAACCTGCCGTTCTCCTGAGTACAGCTGGGTTTGGGTTGGGTTTTTTGGAAGGGGTAAGTTAAGATTCTGTCGTGCTAAAAGCCCTTGCAGCTTTGTTGCTACAGCAAGGCCCCTACTATCAACCTTATACCTGTGTAGAGTATCACTACTTGTTTCTGGGTAAAGCATGCCTGGTCTAGACAGGGCCATTTGCATCACAGGAATCTAAATATGTCTGAAATTGAGTGAATTGTTTTCACTCTTTAGCTCACTGAACACCAGAAATTGGGTACCGTATTCTGTTGGTAAGTTCTAAAATAGATCAATGTTGGCATGGCACGAAAGGTACACGTTATTTGTAAAAGGGGCTCTTAAATGTAACTGCTTTCTACTACAAATGGGATAAATCGACTGTGACATAAAAGTAAGCAAATTGATCCAAGTATCAAATCCATTATTTTTTTCCGAAGTTAATGAGAAGGCAGACCGCCTCCCAGCAATACCCAGCTGCTTTCAAAGGGTCTTGCAAGTGACCATTAACCCACCCTGAACTGGAGGCTGACGCTGCAAATAAAAGACCCCAGCTGCAATTAAATGGTTTTACCTAGGTTTTGAGGTATTTCGAACTCATCTCAGGCCAACTAACCCTGCTAAGTTACTCCTTCATGGCACCAGAAGAAACCGCGTGGGGGGGAAGGGTCTTCCAGCAGTGGGGTTATTCGGTTTCGCAGGACGGGGGATGTATTTGTGCACACGTAGACTTGAGAACGGGGTTCGGGGCAGCGCGAAGGGGACCCCCAGGGCGGCCGGACTGGGGACAAACCGGTTTGGGTGCTCTCCGGCAGAAGACGTGGCTTCGCAGGTGGGCCGAGGCCGGGGCGCCGGTTTATCTCTCAGGTTTCATTTATTTATTCGCGGCGGCGGCGTTTTCCTCCTTTTCTTTCTTTGTTCCTTTAATTTCTCTCCCCCCCCCCCA